AGTTTTTATAAAATAAGTTAATCAAGTTATTGAATAAAAATTGTAATTGTCTAGTTTCTGTTTCTTTTAGAGTTTTCTCCACAATCCTAAAATATCTTTTCACCCTCCCCCCTCCCCCTTGTATGATGTCATCTGCTTGTCACGTAACTTCGATACCTGAGCATTCCCGTTTTTCCTTATCGCGAGTGGAAACGAGTTTTCTACGTTTCCCTCGGAAGGACGCATCAGGTAGAACAGAGAGAACTGCATCTTACAATGGTAGAAGAGAAAGGATAACAGATTGGAAAGAGAACGGGCGAGAGAGCGAGCGAAAGAGAGAAAGAGAGAGAAGGAACACGCACGCACGCACGCACGCTCAGTATTGATTTTCTTTAATTTGATTTCCTTCAATTTGTTGGCTAGCTCCTTCGTTATTATATTTGATTGAGATCCATTAAGGCTCTGCATCTACGTTCCCTTCATCATTTATGTAAATCTGCGCTGTTGAAAGAATTACTCGCGTTGTATGTTTTGGATCGCAATGAGTTATTTGACAACCTCCATCCGACTCTTGAATACAGTTTCCATTTTTTTGTGAGTTTTTTTTCTCTTCCACAAGAAATTAACTGTGATGTGCTGCTGAAACAGCGAGCCTGTGTGGCTCGTTTCCTGACTATTCTTTTCTTGAGGTTTTCCACGATCTTGCTCCGTGTGTAACAAAGTGTTATGCTTGAGATTATACTTTTTGCATGAAGATGTCCATCATTTTTAGCTCATGTGCTCTGTTTTAAGACAGTTAAAACCCTTTCAACAATTGAACTACGCGTAAGCGTAGTTGTAAATGGTTGTAGTTATCAAAATTAAACAATCATAATCAAAATTAACAATCATAATCAAATATGAAGAAAATATTCGACTGTAATTAGTCGATTCTTACAACTACGCTTATGCAATTGTAGAATAGGCTTAATGCACAATTTTTTTTGTTTTATTTCTAAATATCTCTGTTGTGGATATAATTTCAAAAATTTCTCATTTAAAAATCAAATAAGTACCCGCGTAGTTAGGACATGTCATTGTAATTGCTGCTAATCCTACTTTCTTGTCTGTTTTCTTTCCCATTGACGTTGACTCGGTTTGTAATTTGCTTTTATTTATCATTTCAAGCATGACACAACGCTTTTGCAGAAACGCTATCATTTCTTTCAATGTAAATAATTGATCGATTCGTTTCGTCAGGCTGATTTCTTTTTTCCATTCCTCTCTCGTTGCGTTATCAAATTTGTTAGTGATGAAGATATGATAGTGTTCCAATATTGTACTAGCAACTTCGAAGCAAACAAATGTGAGTCCGAACTTTGTCAACCATATTTCAAGATTAGCATAATTTTACTTTGCGACAGGAGCTAGTTCAAATAGTCCTTCTATATGCATATTGATTATTAATATCGTCTTTTTATATCGTCTTTTCAGTAACTCCCAAATGATAGGCGTAGTCGACATCCAAGGCTTCTAGTGATGAAAACTTTTCCCCTTTGAATTTATACTTATTTCTCATAATCTACTTTTTATCCTCTTTACATTCTATCTTTATTACTAATACATCTTCACTCTATCTAATTACAATGTTACAATACTACAATTTGCTTTGTCTTTTAACTACTCTCTTACGCCTATCTCTATCTCTCCATACACTTTTTGTTACCTTAATTTCTTTAGTTACATGTAAAAATTCCTTAATTACAAAATTTCTTCTTTCTTCTCTTTTGCTATTTGTCCATTTCTTCAGAATATTAATTTCTCTACTGCTCAGTCCTTCCTCTCGCTAAAAAATCGATTCTGCCCCTACATAGGAACTGCAACTTCCCTTTTCACTTGTCACATTCCTAGCCTCCCTTTGTCCATTATCCTCTTTCCTGTTACTTTTTGTACTCTTTTTTCCTTCTAGCTGTTCATACTTAATCTCTAGCTCTTTGTACTTCTCTGTCAATCCTTTAATCCTAACTTCTTTTTTATCTGCCTTGTCCATTCCTCTTTCAATCTTTTATCCTCCCTTTTCATAAAATCTCCCTGTTTATCTCTTTTACTTCTTTTTCGTACAATTTTGCATCTCCTTCCTCCATCTTCTATCGCATTTTCCGCATTTATTTCTCTTTTATCTTATCCAATTCACCTCTCTCCTACGTATCCACAAATAATTTTTTATTTTTATAAAATATTTATAAAGGCTAGGGAATCGGCCGGATATCAATTCCAAACAATATTTATAATTAATATTAATATTGATGTTTATTAGTCGTAAAAAAATTTATTATACGTTTCGACCTTTTTACAAGTCATGTAAAATCATGTAAAATTATAAAATAAACCGGCTAATATTCAAATGAATTTCTGTTAGACATAAAAATATCGTGATACACGTCTTACAATCGTCGCAATTAATCGCTATAATAATTTCCAAACGCAGATTGAAAAGATGTAGATTGTGACTGGATTGAATAAGTTATCCTTCAAGTACCTAGGCATGTAGTTAACATCAAGCTAAGATAGAAGAGAGAAGATAAGAGATGAAATACGTTAAGAATGGCTGGATGTCTGAGAAAAGTGATATGGAACAACAAATTCATGAGCATGGCAGCGAAAGTACAGATATACAAATCTTGGGTCCGTTCAATATTGATATACACGGCGGAAATTCAGAAATATCCAAAACCAAGGTGAATCTCAGAACAGCAAAGATGCGGATATTATGAAGGCAAGTCAATAAGTTCTTAGAAAATCTGTCAGAGGAAAATCTGGCTTGCAGTGTCATGTCACATTACTTTTTGACAAGTAGCATCTTTCAGCTGATTACTGTCAAATTTCGAGCGGAATTCATCGAATAGTTTCATTTCTGTAGACGATTAAAGCGAATAACCTTTTGTATTTTTTGCAAAATGGAAAAAAACGAGTTTCGTGCAGTGATCAAATATCTACATATGAAAGATTTAACGCCAAAAGAAATCAAAGCCGAGTTGGATAATGTTCATAGCACATCTGCACCAGTGTTTGCGACTGTATACAATTGAGTGAATGAATTTAAACTTGGTACATCCACATGTCATGCACCTCGTTTGGGACGTCCAATTGAAGCTGCTACGCCAGTAATCATCGATAAAGTCCACGATATTGTTTTGACTGATCGACGAGTGAAAGTGCGGGAGCTTGTTGAGGGCACAGGCATATCACATAGCACAGTGATTTCAATTTTACACGAACAATTGGGTATGAAAAAGCTATCGGCAAGATGGATGCCGCTTTTACTCACTGTGGACCATAAGCGCGACCGTGTGACGATTTCAAAATAATATTTGGAGATGTTTCAATGTAATCCAGATGAATTTCTGCGTCGATTCATTACTGTGAACGAAATATGGATCCATTACTTCACACCTGAGACGAAGGAACAGTCAAAACAATGGTCAAAAAGTGGACCGAGTGAACCAGCTCCGAAGAAGGTGAAGACCGTGAAGTCGACCGGAAAGGGGATGACCATAGTTTTTTGGAATGCACGCAGTATAATTCATATCGATTACCTTCCGTCAAAGCAAACGATCAATGGCGATTACTATGCAGCTTTATTGGACCGTTTCAACAACATTTAAAAAAAAAATTCCAAATAAAAATCCTGGTTTTTGGATTTATCATCGACTAATTTTCATTATTTAATTAATTTTCATTGATTCATGCAATATTATATACTTTGTATTCAAGTTAGAATTCTATACAAATGAATTAAAACGCTAATTGGAAATAATATTATTTATTACTTTATAAATAATATCAAACGAACATTCCGTTAACACAAACGACTTTTATACTTGTTCTATTTTACAGATTAAATTCAAATTTTCTATTGGTTAACTTATTACACCATTAAGAAAACCCCTACAGCATGAAATATTGCAGCAATAGTGCGTTACATGTAAAAATTGCAGCAATATTGCTGCAACATTGAAATTTTAATATCTTGTTGCAATAATATTGCAAAATATTATAATTTTAATATTTTGTAGAAAACATTGCAATCTATTGTTGCAATATTACAATTCAATAAATAAATATACGGCCCCGCTGCGTTTTCTCCTTACGAGAAAATTATACGTCTCTCATAAGAAGAAAACAACCAAGAGTCCTATAAGAAAGAATACGCAAATCAGAAAGAATTAGCAAATCTCCTGGAGATTCCCAACCTTTTTTGGATGTACTTTCTAAGCCTCCGAATATTTTTTGATCATGTCTTTATTGTATATATTTTGAAATATTGTATGATACTAAACACATACAATAATATGTTAGCAATTAATAAAATTAGAATAATTGAAATATAGCAATATGTATGCAATATGTATTTCTCTAAATATTGCAGCAATATTTTATTTTTGCAAAGGACTATTGTTGCAGCAATGTTTTATGAAATATTGTAATCTTTCAAAATTGTTGAAATATTTTGCTATAGGGGAAGATTTATGCCTAAACTCAACTTTTTTTTTATTATTTCTTTTTTTTTCACGCTTTGACTTTTTTAGAATGAAAGAATGATAAATTCCAAACCCTGAAATTTCAGAAGTTTTCCAGAAATTTGCCAAAATACATAAAATTCCAGTATAATTTCAGTATAATTTAGCATCTAAAAATATTCAAAGACCGCTAGATACTATGGTATTCCAAGTAATTTATGTACCGCGGAAATATATTGATTTTAGAATATTACGTTTTTAATATGACGGGCAAACAAAGCAAAGTTTTTTTCTACACTGTAATCCAATTGATCACTTTAATCACTTTCAGTTCATCTTATGTGTCTTGTGTAATGAAATACTTTGCTAATTGCATTTATTTTATATCTGTTTTTTATTAAAAAGGATATAATATTCAATACTTTTTTATGAAGTTGGTGTATATTTTTTTCTTTTCCAAAATGATTAATATTTTTTTCCTTAGGATACATAACATGCATAATTGTGTCTTTTTTCTTATACCTGCATGTTTCCGGAGATTGTTTCCCGCTCACTCAATATTTCATGAAGTGGTCGCGTTCCCATCGTATTCCTTAAAGTCGTTTGAGCCAGTAACCTCGTACTATGATGCGCATTCTCCACATTTGCAATCGAAATGGTCGCGTTATTAACACGGTAATAAACTACTGCATCAACAGATACCGTAACGCTATCCTTTGTCAAAACCTAATATAAATAAATAATTATATTAGATAAATAGATAATTATATATATATATATATGTATATATTGATATTTTTTTTTAATATATTAAATTGAAACAAAAGTTCATAGCGCAGAGATCAAAATTCAAGAAACTGTAACTTTGTTAAAAAAGAACAAAATTTAAAGGACCTTACATCATCTTATGCAAACTGATTTTCTGGTCGAATTAACTAAATTTTATGTTGTAATTCTCTCGTCCTTCTGAACAAATATCTCCGTGGGACCAACCTTCTCTTATAACTAGTTTTTACGCTACACGTTCTGAAAGATTTATTCTTAAAAAATTGGTTTTCTTATTAATGATATTATGTATCATTAATATTCTTGAGGCTTCCATGGGTGATAAAATATCAGACTGCTCCTCGCTCTGATGAAGTGGACTACAAGGTTCACGAAACGTTGTCATTCTAAGAATGGATCTGGATTCGGAGGAAACCCGCGAAAAAGTGGAAAACGGGGAAACACCTTGAATATCTCCGCTATTTTTAGAAATATGAAAATATTATAATTACAAAAGTTGTACGGTATCAAAAGGACCATAATATACGCTGGTAAGAATTTTTTTAGGTGGAGGCGCTTCGGAGATTTCAAAGTCACTTCCATTTTTTTAAACGGCATACTAACTTTTTTAACCTTACAATTAGTGTAATAGTGAGTATTTAGACGATTTCAACGATCTATAATAAAAGGTCATTCGTCATTAAATAAAGAAGTAAAACAGAAGTGATATCCGTTTACATTAATGCAATATTGCAGTTGTCGAATTCTTGAAGTACGTACACTTCTTAAGATTTTCGGACTGATTGTCGCACATACTACGATAATTCGTTATTTCATATTTTTTTGACGTGGTTGACACTTCCTGATATACAATATCCTTATATTCGCTATGTTATAATAAAAAATGTAAATATTTACATTTCTTACTATGAATTCTATAAGTCTAAAGGTATTTGTGAAACTTCAAGTTAAAACAAAATAGTCTTACAAAGGAACCGTCGGAATTAATTTTAACGAGCTTTGGATATGTTGTAGAGCATAAGAAAATATTAGATCCATATTCCTTATCTCGAGATTTAGAGGAAACTCCTTCGAAAATAATGGATTGTATCGTTTCTTAAATATCTTTTAAACCAAAAATATTTTATACAAAAATTGTATAGTTTCTTATGCTCTATATAACGGCATAAAAGACATGTTGCAAAAATCAATTTTGTAACAAACAAATTTTGCTACAAACAAATTATTAGAAATTCATTATAGAGAAATTCTGATTACACCAATCGAACATGTCGCAATCAATTCACCTCAGCACACATTCGGAGCGGTAATTTCCATCAAATCAAGTGCACATTCATAATAATATAGATTACGAATGTGTCGAGCTATCCATCGACATGTAAGCGTTCTTCCTGTTCTGCCTGTTGTTTCTCGAATTCGAAGCCAGTACCACCATAATGGCATAAGAATGTTCTTATAGTTTGATCGAAATTACGACTCTGGATGCGCATTCTGACGATAATTAATTGCGATATGTAACATAAACTTACAACTAATATCAATATCATAATGGCATAAAAATGTGCACTTGATTTGATGGAAATGACCACTATGAATACGTGAGATGAGTTGATTGCGACATGTTTTTTATGTTATCTAATGAATGTGTAATATACGAAAGAAAATAATATAAAAACAGACGTTAATGTAAGTTATGTATCTACTAAAGATGGCTCCGTTGTGAACCGAAACGTTTGGAAGAATTTTAGTGATTGTAACAATATACTCTTTTGCATCGTTTAACGTGCTTGGCTCATTTAGCTCTTATTAGAATTTATTATTGAATTTGTCAGTTTTTTGAACCTTTAAAATTTGTTAATTTTAAAAATAAATAAATTATGAAAAATTGTTTTTGCCCATGCGTAGATTACTAAGAATAATCAAAAAATAACAATTGTAAACAGGACTAAAGCATGAAAAAATATTTTTGAAAAAAGTTTTGTTAAAAGTACATTGCAAAAATCAATTTTGCAATTAATTGTTATAAACAAATAATTTATACATAAACAAAGAACAATTTAAGAAAGAGTTATACATGTTTGTTTAATAATTTTTCTAATACAATCGATTGGTGTAGTCACTATTTCTCTACAATCAATTTTTAATAATTTGTTTATAACAATAATTTCGTATATTATCTAAAGTGCACGATGTTTGCCTCTTTTTTTGACAAATTTAATTGTGGAATTATAACATTTATATTTATTAGGTGTTGGAATTAATTCGTAGCGTTTTACAAGTGATGGGAAGTACTTTCATTAATGTATTTTTTAATGCTCATGTGAAATAAATAACATTCTTTCATTAAAAAACGCTACGAATTAATTCCAACACCTAATATATTTGTTACATTTCTGCATGTTGTATTTACACACGGACGGATATTTAATAAAATATAAAAATAGTAAACATAAAAAATATAAATATAGTAAGTATAAATTTTGATAATGTAAAAAAATAATATACAGGGTGTTTTCTCTACCCTCTCTCTTACGTTCGTAGATCCAGTTCAGCCAACCTTAGTTGTTGTCTTCATCGCACACACATCATTTAGATTCGGTCTCTTTTTATCATGTACTACTTAGTAATACTAATGTTTGTTTGTGTCGCATGCTCCTACTCTAGTTCCTACTCACTTGAACACATTTGTTGGAGTGAGTAGGAGTATAATAAGAATTGAAAAACATTTCAGAAATATATATTTAAAATATCTATACTTTTTTATAGAATTTTTCATACACAAGATGCTAAGCCATCCCCGCTCCTCGCGATCCGCGCGCCGTGCGATCGATGGACTATATCTTCGGCAATATTAGGTCGGACGCGCGTATTCTATCTTTAAATATTATTAATATCTCGTTAACTATTCCGAGAATTGCAAAATGATAGAGGACTTTTCGACTTAGTTTAGTCCGCTCCTCTTTGTTCTTATTTTTATTTTTATTTTTATTTTTATGTTATTTTATTTCAATAACTTTAATTATTATTTTGACTCTCATATTATTTTGTATCTCTGATTAATACCACAAGATCTTTAACGTCGAGTCGCGAGAAACGCTTACATGTAAGGTGATATAATAAAAAACGCAGATAGATGATTTTAATAATTCTCTAATTTTTTCGTTTTTGTATTTCTTTTGAATGACTACACAACAAATCTGATGAGCGATGTGATTCTATCGAGTGACACAATGTATATGACTTCGTTTTTACTTTATGTAAGTTTTTATGATATTATTGTATAAGTATTAATATTCTTAATAATTACTTAATAATTAGACTATTCATTACATAGTTAATTTGATAGTTGGATGAAGAAGAATGAACTAAATTGTCGGGAATCATCAATTTGGAATTTGCGTTAATTATGTAACTTCGATTTATATTTTATATTGATAAAGACTCGAATTGATGCATTGAAACGTATATATCTTATTCGTTTTGTTACATTCACATGAAAATAAAGAATTTTCTGTGCATCCGAATAGCTGATGGCTTTGATGGGCTTTTTTACATTGGTCAACATATATACAATTATATATAAATCATTTTTCCCTGGATAAATGAACAAATGAATACATAAATAAAAATAAATAAATAAGTACAATTTGTACCAACAATACTTATACCAACGTATATATATATATATATATATAATGCACAGAGATCAGTTGTAGACATCATTTATTTCTTTGCAGTTGGCAAGCCTGGATCTACGATACTTCGATTCGCAAAAGGGGCGTGGTTTGCCCAAACTGAGCATACCATATCAATCTCTTCCACCATGGTCTAGCAGCCATTCGAGCAAAATATTTTTTCTCGGATCAAAATGTCAGCAAGTGTGACCATCATGTCGTTTTAATTAATAAATTTATGATTTTTTTAAATCGCAAAAATGATGAAGATGTGGCTTGTGTCCTTCAAATAAAAGAAATGTTCAAGAAAGAATGTCTAACGTGTCTACAACCGATGTGTAATAAACACACTCTCTAAATATAAATTAGTGGATAATTTATTGAAATGACATATTTATTGTTAGTATTGAATTATCAGCATATCATATTAACACATTCGGCAGTTGATAATCAGTGAAATTCAGTTATAAAAAAAAATAGGTTTGAGCATTATATAGTTAAAATATCGATATTTGCACGTTCTAGCATATTGTAATTCCAATCTTACCATATACGTTGAAAGCTCTACATTTATATACTGAAGCAAGATTTGCTATAGGTTAGGGATATCACATTTCATTAATTAATTAACAGTGACATATTTGGCACTAAATTGGTGATTATCCATTAATTCAGATTTAGAGAGCAAACTCTATTTGTATACTGAGATATTGCTGTAGCGAAGAGTAATATTTTCTATATATTTTTTGTATTTTACGTTTTTCATCTATATTTGCCTCCAGTATTAATAATAATAAATATAATTTTTACATTAATAATATAATAACTTAAACCAATAATAAATGATTTTTTACTTGAATTTAACATCTTCTTTATACTTAAAAGATGACCATCTTCTTCCTTCAAAATAAATACTTTTTTTGAATCGCGTGTAACCATACTATTTTTTTTTAAATATTATACATTATGTTAAGAGTACTGGGCTAAAATTACATTTGAAAATATTACAAATTTAAAGTTACGATTAAAATAAAAAGAACATTTTTCCGAATTTAACATGTTTACGATTTTTTTAAATGTTAAAATTAAATTTTTCATTAAAACGTCATTGTTTTATTAAAGGATGAAATTATAGTATACTGTGTACTATTTTCTAAATCATTACAACTAATACTATTGATTTGGTAACACTTTAAAGATCGGGTTTGATTATTTGAGTTAATAAATTTTGCAACAAATTGTTATAAACAAGTTATTAAAAATTAGAAAAAAAGTGACTACACCAATCGATTATATGGAAAAAATTATTAAAGAAACGTGTATAACTCTTTCTTAAATTGTTCTTTGTTTATGTAAAATTTATTTGTTACAACAATTAATTGTAAAATTAATTTTTGCAATGTACTTTTAATGTCAGAAATATTTCTTCATGTTCGATGCTATTTACAATTATCATTTTTTTAACACATATAAAAAATAAGAGCATAAAAAACCACAG